AGCTTGGCTGATATATAATTCCACTTATATTAACCAAGGAACGGTCAATAGAAGCACGAGAAATAAATGCAACATGCATGCAGTCAAAATAGTTTGAAACATAAACCAACCTGCTTGAAGATTGTACTGGTTCCAGATCCTTCCAACCCAAATAACAGCAATTTCTGTACCCTTCCCTGCTCCAAATACTCAGGCACTGACCTCGCTGAAAGGGTAGTTGGATCTTCTTGTGGCCCATGAGGATTTGCAGGTGGTACAGGCAGTGAAAATAATGAACAAAAGAAACGAGTAGATGCCTGCCTACCAAAAATCAAACTGCTACTGAATAAAAAATCAATTCAAAACCACTTGTTGAATTTTTAAACTTATAACTAATGCACAGATTACGAGAGAACCTTTTCCCATATCTTGCCCTTGATGTTATTTTGACCTTCTTCCTCATAAGATCCATCATCATACATCCAAAAATGAGTATCCCTGGGGCATTGTACATTTGCCAGCTGAAATAAAATTACATTTAAAATAGAATCAATATTATTATACAAAATAGTATAAACACTAAAAAGCAGAAGAAGAAAAATTTTGTTTCCACCATCAGAAACAGACGAATCACGCTTTAGACAACAGGAAACTATTCCAGGAGGACACACCAAAAATAGGAGACTGCCTCATTCACCAGGGCATCAGTCAAGGCTACCAGCAATGTAGTTATTCATTGAAGATTTTGAAGCATATATCAGTAGAAAATAAATTTGCTCTCTCTAATAATATATTTCACTCAGCTATAATCCCTGACATGAACAGGGTTGACTCAGCTCTTCAGTTGAATAAATTGTGAATTTTCAGGAGGAGGGAGAAAAAGCATGTTGCTGTTTATGAAAGTCAAGCTGTTGGTTGACAAACTTAGACTTTTGTTCTTCATAACAGAAACGTCTTCTTAAATATTTCCAACATGACTAACTGAAGAAAATGTCGAACTCGATACAATATCTAGGCAGTCAGCAAACAGCCGTTATATCAAAGATATACGGTGTGCAACTAACTACTCATCGTCTCAAACTTATACTTTCTTTGGAAATGCTCAAAATTAACCATATTTAATGCAATATGAACTGTATTTTATAACATGTTCCAATTTGACCCTTATAATTTCATGGCCCTCCAAGACAAGAAGCATTGCTTGTGACAAAGTTGAAGTTTGTTAATAAATCCTCTTGGTTTGATTGTAAACAAAAATTGCTGGTAGGGAGCAAACAAGTGGAGCCTTTCTCTTGTCCAGGTTCAGCCAGCCTAAATTAAATCAAGCTTGAGTATTTATCGAGCTCCAAGAATCTTTCATAGCATGAACAAACAGCTCAATTTAGAAAGTTAAAAAAATGATTAATTGCATAATATTAGAGTTAGCTTTCTGACCTCTAGTTTTCAACCATCATGAAAAGAGTAGGTTTCTATTCCCTTTGTCCCAATGAATTCCAAAAACCTTTACACCACTATCACACATATATGAAAGATATATGCTAGTGTCTGCATAATCTTTACCGGAAGCATAATTCATGAATTGATATAAGTAGCTTTCACTTGTGAACTCCAACAACTTGAGTTATAATATTTTGCAACAAATATCATCAAAAATGAAATGGCAGCTTCATAAAAGGCGAGTACTGTAAAACATTTAATTAGCAATTCAAGAAATGCTTTAGTTTCATGCGGTTCATTGGGCATCAGTGAACAAATGGCACATAACATGAAGAACAGAAGTAATTAATTACCTTCAACACTCTCAGCTCAATCTTTGTGATTTCACGGCCATTGATGTACACCCTTGTGTTCCCATTGCTAGCATCCTTTTTCATCTTACCACCAATATTCAACTTAGAACTAATTATCCTGTCAGGCTTCTCTCCCTCCTGAAATTCAATTCAAAGGTCAATTACATCAAATCGGAACCAAATAATAGGAACAATCCATTTTTAATCCAAAGAAGCCGTAATTTTACCTTTCCCCACAATCCAGAATCCTTATCATACCAATACTTCCCAGGCTTCAACTTCCGCGGTGGTAAAGGACACCCTAAAACCTCAGCCAATTCTTCTTGAGTCAACTGTCTCCCATTAACAACCAACTGCTCAGGCCTCAACTGATTGGCCGCACACTCTTTCTCAGCCTTCATAATTTGCTTAACCTCCAAAGCACTACAAACTGTCCTCAAAATCCTGGAACTCTTCCCCAATCTAGACCTCTTGGCCTCGTCAATCGGCTTTCCGATGCAGCCTACGCACTTCCTTCCTTCAGGCATAGACCCCATGGCCTTAAGCAAGCAGTTGCTACAGTACCTCGCATCGCAAACCAAACATGCCTCTCTTTCCTTCAATCTGCTTCCTTTCTCGCACCTGCTGCATATTCCTCTCTTTTTCTCCTTCTTTTTAATCCCACGCGTTTCCACATTTCCCACAGAAGCAGCAGCATCCGCCACGCAGGATTGGGAAGAAGAGTACCCATCGTCCTCTTCTTCTTCAGTTTCCGAATCTTTCGGCGTATTAAACGTGACGACAACGTTCTTCTTATCAACAGTAACCGGTTGCGGTTGCATTTGCGGTGGCTGCGGCGACTTACCAACCTCGATCTCGGAATCGTAATCGCCATTTCGAGAGTCAATCTGGGATCTTGATGCCGAGGAAGGCCTCTGGCTCTCAAGAGGGCTTCCATTTCTGATATTATTGCGATTCTTTCTGAAGCTGGAGAACTTGGGTTTTGTGGGGATTGGAGCTGCGACAGGAATCGAAGACAAATCTGAAGCAGCAAGGGAACCAAGATCGAGGGGATCGACACGAGGGACATCGTAAGGAATGGGAGGGCCTTCGTATTCAACTGCGATCGAGTAATCGAGGTGGTCTTCGTCAGGTAATGGAGCTCCCGCGGGTAACATTTTTCTAATTACATCTTCCCAGGCTTTGTTCTCTTCTTCTGCTTCTGTAGATGCAGCCATTGTATGCGGAACAGAGATTGGGAGAGAAGAGTCAGAGTCTGCCAGATATCTTCCTTACTTCTATTTTATTGCTCAGGCTTCAGGAAGAAGAACCTGCACCTGCCGTTATGGAGTTGGCAGAAAGTAAACGGGAAGTTTAACGGCGGACGTGGACCAAGTTAGATTCGGCCTCACAAGAATCCTTCCGTTATATACGCCTTCAGAGTTCAGACTATGACTCAGTAAATAAATTTAAAATATACGCCGTCAAAACTAAACACGAGGGAGCGACTAGTAGATAATTTTTATTGGTTTAATATTTTTAAAAAAATTAATTATTTAATTTTTATTTATTTAAAATAAAAATATAATTAACTTAAATAAAAATAAAAATTTATTTAAATTTTTAAAAATATCTTAAAAACTTTTTAGATGTTGCGCTATTTTTATTTTTACTTTTAACCTTATTTACTTTTATTAAAATAAAATTTATATATTATTGGTTGATTTTTTAAATTTTACCATTAAGATTGTAACAATTTATAAATATAGTTTTAAAATGTGATAAATAAAACAAAAAAGATCACATATTTTAATATAATAAATAAAAAAATAAAATAATATTTAAATATAAAATATTCATTTGATAAAATATAAAAAATAATTTATTTACTTTAATATTTAATTAACTTATTTGTAAAATAGTGTCTAATTATATTCCTTTTGTGAAACCATTGTGAGCATGGCAAATAAAAAAAACAGAAGAATCGTGGGAGCCGTTTTCTTTCTTTTCTCATTATTATTGTGGACGGTTTGATTCTTTGGGCCGTACGGTAGTAGTTTAAAGCTAAAAAGAAAGTAAGGAGATAAGCGAAGAGCGTGCATAATAACGTGGCATGCCTTTATGTCGGCCTTTTACTTTTTGTTTGACCTGTGCAACAAGCCCGCCAAGGGTTAGGAGACGAAACACGGAGTCAACCAATTTAGGTGTAGCGTGTTTTCCCACCTCTACGGGTAAATTTTATAAAGATATAGTATTCATTAATGAAAATAAGTTATTCGGATTGAATTAATCTCAACTTGGAAAACATGGATCAAATTCGCAAGCCTGACACCCAGACAAGCCACACTCCATTTAATTATTTTTTGTAATAATTAAGAGAAAGAAGATTTAAACTCAATTTTTTAAGCAAAAGAAAAAGAATCATTCATCGAATTAAATTGTAACACTTTTGATTTTTTTTCTTTTTATATGACCTAAATGTGATGTTGATCAAGAAATTTGACCAGTAAACTTGAAAACTTGATGTATATGCTTGTGGAGCATGCATATAAGCTATTGTTGTTTATAGAGAAAGACTTTAAATTTCAATATATATTGGATATTATAATTATATAATGAAATAGCTAAATCAATTGGTGAGCTAAATTAAACTTTGATGAATATGACTACACTTGTATGACTATGAATATTGGTATAAAGGAGAGTTTTCAATGGAATCATACATATGTTTGGCACTTTGACACCTAAATACGACATTAAGGTAAATATCAATAAAAATTATTAATTAATTCTAGAGTTCGAAGATTTGATTTAATTTGATGTGTATTTGAGAATATATGTATGAGGATTTGAATTATATGAGCTATTTGAGATATGAGATTAATAGGGAATGGATTTGGGATGTTAAGTCGAATTTTTGAAAGTTAGAAAAGACTTAAAACTGCCTAAAAGGAAAAATGCATCAATACATCCCCTCATGTATTAATACATTCATGGTAAAAAGAATAATATGAAGTGTTCTGGAGGGATTCTATCGATACATTTAAGGATGTATCGACAGATTTGGTAAAAAATGAACATGTATCAATATATTATCCCGATGTATTGATACATCTGAAGTATGGAGCATCCAAAACTATTCTGTCCAAAATATATTGATACATTACCTCATGTATCGATACGTTTATTCGAAATTAGGACAAATATATTGATACATCATTGAAAAAAAGCAAAAATAAAAAGCAGTTTCAGGCCATATCACCCCATTCTTCTTTCTCAACTCTTTTCCTCTCTACTCATATGAAACCCTAAGCCCCAAATGCCATTTGGAGCTTATTGAGACAGATTTGAGTTTGGAAAATTGATCAAGAGGTAAGATTACATGTTTTTATCGATTGATTTTCTATTTAATCGGTTAATAACCTCAGATCTAACTTTTTTTAGATTTGGTCAAACTCTTTCACCTTAAGTTTATTAGAAATTTGGAGCCTAGATTTGAGCAACCCAACTTCTAAGGTAAAGATTTAGCTCATTTGTTGGAAGGATGAGCATGCATATTAAATTTGGGTATTTTTGAAAAGCTAGAATATTTTTGAAAGCTAAGAAATAAATATTGTTATGGTATTTTGACGTGTTTAAGGGAAAGTTGAAGCCATCTAACGCGTTGGTGAGTTATAAGACTACTAGAGGTCGAGGATTGGAGCTCAGCTATAGGAACACTTCCGATTATCAAGGTGAGTGGTTTTGAATTAAAATACATGTGATGCATGACGCATTGATGAAAGCATTGCCATAGTAGTAGAATGTGCATATGCATAAATATATATATATGATTGTTTAAATGTTAGTGCCTTGACTAAAGAACCAAATTGTGGATTAAATGTTTGCACGTTGTCATGTGAGCCACATAGATGGCCTATGCTGTGCATACCTTAACCAAGATGTCTAGAGGCTATAATGAACCATAGGAGTAGATTTTCCTTAGGCGCAAGATATGTTAAAAGAATTTGATCCAATGATGCCTTGGAGATTTAGAGGCATTTAGAACTTAATTGAGCTTAAAAACAATTGAAACTCGATAAATGGGAATTGAAAATCGATAAGAAAAATGTGAGTGATAAAGGCATGATGGCTTTATTTGTGGATTTATGTTTTTATTCAAGGGATGACTTTCAGATGTTGATCTGATTTGTGGTGGAGTGTAGTTCCGTCCCCCTGTGACTATGTGTGTGCCTGCAGACGGTGGCTTATTCCTGCCTGCAGTACTTTAATGCCATCCGTTACGATTATTTCGAGTGATGTTGACATCGAAAGATTACTCTAGTTGATGATTTGATTCTTCACCACCTGCTTCGGCATTACACGTGATTTGTTCTCCGCCTGTTACTTTGGCACATGCATGGTTTGTTTCTCCGCCAATAGCTTTGTATTAACCATGATTTGATTCTTTGTTGGTTGACCACTAAACGTCATTTGACTATGTATAGGGAAGGACCACTCATTGATTTGATTTGCATATGACATGAGATTGGCATGGAGAAGTTTAGATAAATATGATATGAATATGATGTGATACTCTAACAACTAAAGTGTGCCATGAAGAATGATTTAAATAAATTTGATCGAATTCGAGGGTAAGCCTATATATATGTGTTTGATGACCTTTGGGGACATTGAAGATGATGTTAAGCCTTCATATTGGAGATTTAGGGATAGTGATATGCCTTATATTTGGATATGTTTGTTGGATTATGTGGTTGCATCGAGAGTGCAATATTTATATATATGATTATATATGATTTGTTTATCTGCACCATTCACTGAGTCTTATAGTACTCACCCATTTGTGTACCATGTGCAAATAAATAGGTCACAGAACTGTGTGATAAAGGTCATCCCATGATAGACCTATTTGGCATTTAGTAGGTCCCCATCCAACATGTCACTTCGCTATGTCAACCTTGAGATTCTGCTTCACACTTAATTTGTTGTGTATGTAGGCACAATGTGCCATATGAACTTATGTAAGGATTGCTATGTACGAACCAATCTTGGATGGCCAACATATGGCTCTATAAACTTTTGTATGAATTATGTGCTATGGATAATGTATTATATTTCGTTTTATTGTGAATATTTGATTATTAAATCCCTTGGCTTGTGTTATATAATTTTGGATTTTGAAGCTTGCTCTGGTCTAGTGGGCTTGCCTACTAGGCTTTTGTGTCGGTCTTAGACTCTCAAATTTGGTTCGTGATAAAGCCAAATGTTCGAATGCAAGTACTTTATTCCTTCAAAAACTTGGATGATAATCAACTATGGTGATTTCTACTATAAATTCATCAAAATTGATTTTGTTGTGAAATCATTAAATTCACTAAATTAAATATCAAACATCAAACTTTTTTATTCTTTAATTGATTAATTGTTTACCGTTTAATTAAAAATAAAATAAAATTTATTTTTTATTAAAAGTGAGTTTGACAAATAGAGGATTCTCCCTCCCCTTCTTCGTTTTTTATTTCTTCTCTGATTTGTTTTTTTCCCATGACAACCCAACTCTCTTCCTTGATCTTCCATGCCCACTTTCACACCTTATCACTTTAAATCCACAACTTTCTATATTTTAAGCTACAAACATCTTAATATATACCTAGTTCACAACGTATTCATATCACTTAAAATCTATACTTATATAGTAAAATCATCTCGAGGTAGGTGTGGTGTTGACATCTATCCAAGACATAGTATTAGTTGATTTTATGAAGGCATTGCAAAAATCACTCTTTTGTGTTATGGAAATTGTAGAGGATAGTTTTGGGGGTTGTTAAATATGAAAGGATCTAATTGTTTATTCAACTGATAGGATTTATTTAAGGATATAATATATTTGGTAATTTGCAAAATGGTGAGGTCATTTTCATCCATTGATTTTTATTTCCTCTTTTATGCTAAGGACAATTTTGTCTTTTTATTAGAAATGCTTCTTTTCTATCTTGAAGGGCTTTATATGGGATATATTTTTGTTTGTATTTTTGATGAATTGCAAAGTGTTGAAGATTGTTAAATATGAGAAGGTCTAATTGTTTATTCAGCTGGTAGGATTTATTTAAGGGTAAAATACTTAGACTCCTTAACTTCTAATAGAAATTCCAAGTGGATTTATTAGTTTTTAAAATGGACACTCTGTCCAAAAAAAAAATCTTTCGTTAGACACATAAGTTTAGTCGTTAGTCAACTTTTAATGTTTCTATTAATTTGACCGTTTGGTACTCTCTTCTTTAAGAAGCACCGGAATTAGTGTTCCTAAGGTAGCGGAGCACTAGATTGGTGCTCCCAAGGGTGGTGCCTTTCCTTGAGGAGTACTTGATCGGTGTTCGCTTCTCTTGGGGAGCATTTTCCGTGGGGTCACATTATTTAAGAAAAAAAATGGGGGAAAGAAGAAAAGGTATTTTAGTCCTTTCATATTTTCTATTAATGGTGTTTACACTTTTGAGATAGATTGTCAATTTCGAAAACTAATGGACCCACGTGGAATTATGACTAAAAATTAGGGGTGAGAGTATTTTAGCTTTTATTTAAAGATATAATATATTTGGTAATTTGCAAAATGGTGATGTCATTTTTGTCCATTGATTTTTATTTCTTCCTTTATGTTAAAGACATTTTCGTCTTGTTATGTTGAATTAAGGGCATTTCGATCTTCAAGGGGTTTATCTGGGACAAATTTTTGAAGGAAATTGTGAGAGATAACCTTTTTCATAAACCCAATTCAAAAATGTTATTTTTTATAATTTTAACTATTTTTAGTCAATTTTTGACATGATTTGACAATAATACCCTTTAAACAATTTTAAACTAATTCAAATGGTTTCAGTTTTCCTATCCCACCATCCAGACAAAAATTTTAAAATTAAATCTCGATTTTTCTCTCTGGTGAAATTTGTCTATCTCATCATCCAAAGAGTAGAGATGATTTTAAGCTCTTTTTTATTTTATTTTATTTTTATGGTAGATCTTGAGATTCTTAAAGGCAATAAACAACGATCTTGCTTTTCTATGGTGATTGCAAGCATCATGATGAATGTGGTAACTGGATGCTTTCTGGTGATGACTTGCTTCGAAACGTGTGTTACGATGGAGATGCCTATGTTGATGAGTTGGATCGGATTGGTTAAAATGATGGGCTCAAGGAGAAGAAACAGCTAAAGCATGTTTGATGGGCTTAATAGTGGCTCACAATTTTGTTGTGTTTGGGTTTGGAATGATTGCTAAGCATATTTGCTGAGGATTTTGAGTTGAAATTGTTCAGCAAATATTTTGTAAAAGGAATATATTTTGTTCTTGTATAAAGGGAGCGAGCAAGACCCTTTTAATGGGGATATATTTTGTCTTACTTTAGAGGATTATAAAGTATTGTAACCTATCTTTTATGAAATGCACAATTTCATGGCTTAGAAAAAAAAAGTACGTGTTTTAGGTTCTTAAGTCTATTGGTTTACTCATAGAACCTCAAAGTTAAGGAGTTGAAATTGATTAGACTGCTTTTTAAGTATTGTGAAACTGATTTTTAGGTATTACATGACTTAATTACTGCATGATTAGTTTTAGACATTACGTGATTGGTTTTAGGCATTGTGTAACTAGTTTTTAGGTATTACGTGACTGATTTTTAAGTAATACCTTACTAACTAGTCACGCAATGTCTTACTAACAAGTCACGTAATACCTATCAACTAGTCATGTAATGTCATATCAACCAGTTACGCAATACTTAAAAATTAATCACGTAATGTCCAAAGTCAGCCATGTAATACTTAAAAATTAATCACGTAAT